AACAAAGACTTGCTACAGTTTCATCCAAGATGATCGTCACTGCCCGTTGTTGATGATTGCTTATTTTCCGCAGAACGCGTTGTCGTACCAAAGGATCTGCAGAGGGTTTTTAGCAACAGTTTCATAAGCACATCCTGATGATCGTCACTGCCCGTTGTTGATGATTGCTTATTTTCCGCAGAACGCGTTGTCGTACCAAAGGATCTGCAGAGGGTTTTTAGCAACAGTTTCATAAAGCACATCCTGGGATCGACAGCCAAGTAGAAACGCTCGTCAAATCTTGCCACCGATATGCGTTGGCTTCAAAGCCCCCTAGAAAATGTGAACTCCGTTCTTGGTCGGTACCACGAAATACATGCTCAAGGATACCCGCAAGAGGTGGAAGCCCCAGAAAGCACCAAAACGCAGTCTGACTCGTCTCCATCCCCTGAACTTCCACAAAACGTCTGATCGTATCCTCTCACTATCTAAGGTTTTCAATTTGGTAAGCAGCTAGCCTTAAGAGAATTTCCGTCAGTTTCACTCAGGAGTACTTAGTCTATTCAAACCCCGGGAGCTGTGCATTTGGGTACTTTCAGCTTCCCGTGTTTGTGTTGGATCAGCCATGACCTCTTGCAAATATCTAACGTTGGAAATTTATTGCTCACTGACTCTCCCACGCACGATCACACCACTCAGCATATCCCGGAATAATACATCTATCAAACTACAAAATATAGCTCCTTGTGTTTTTGTTGTCGTAACGCAGACCAGAAGAAGCACGCGACAATGTGAGAAAAAAGGACAACTGGAAAGCAACTATGCACACAAGCTGGTCTCACTTACTGCAGACTATACGAATAGCTCAAAGGTCTGAGTATCAAAAACAACAAAATTGCTTTCTCGTTACCATGGGATCCCATTTGAAATACTGTCGACTGAGGAAGGTTGGTGGCACGAAATTTCCACGTCAGCCGTCAAAGGGTGCACAAACGAAGTTCAACAAGTTAGCCGAAACTCCTCAATCAGTTTGAGCCACCAGTTTGATATTGGTCAGTAGGAAGTCATGAACAGACGGAGTCGATTCGACGGGTCCTCTGAAGCAATAAACTGCCAGTTTGCTGTATCTCAGCAGTCAGCTTGAATTTCGGCTCTGTCAACCAATTTCATGGACTTTGTTCAGGATTGGCGGCTGTTGTGTCGTGATTATTTTTTCGAAATAACTCAACTCTGTTGGCTAGAGGGCAAAACACAGCTTCAGAAAAGCGCTTTGGTGGTCACATCCCTCGTGGATGTGACGCAGACGGCGGTGGATGCGGAAGTGTACGCTGAGTGTGCAATTCATTTCTGATAAGTTTTCAAAACCTGCGCATTGGGAATTCACCAGCTTCCATATCGCTATTGACTCGGCTTCAATAAAGATGCCAGAAATATGTCTATGGTTAGTTTGTCCGTAGACTGCGAGATTCGGACGATTGAAATGCGCTCTCGCACGCTGGTGACACATCAAGCAACGAATTGAAAGGAGGGAATATATTGTATCATGTTCTGTGGATCAGAACTTTCATTCAGAGCTCACATGAGTTGCGTTGAAAACTAGATTGCCGTGCTACTGCACTTTTCATCACAAAGAAGACGCGAGTTCAGCATTTCTGGTCGTATCAGCAAAGGATCTCGAACGTGATAAGGAAATTAGGCAGCATTCAATGAGGGCATTCATAGGTTACGTAGAGCAGGTTGTATTGTGTTTCGCAGTGTCAACTGAGACAATAACCTTTGCCAAAGGGTGACGAAGTGTGAGACCTGGAATCAGTGGCGTGTTTCGCGTCATCACATTTTGGGCTTTGGTATTAGAGATTAATCCACAGTTATTCTTAAATAATAACTTACCGGCGAACTATGCACAAAATAGCTATTTGGAAAACCTCAAAACTACCAACAAAATGTTGGCCAGTGGGTTTCAAATGTGTATCACGCTACCTGACTGGGAATTTCTGTTTGGCGGGTCAATCGATCGTCACAATCAGGATAGTTATTGGGTCGTCGTTCGATGAGTCGGGCACACGAATCACATCGCTCAAGTGTGAATACGTTCGCCTGTTCAGACGTGAAAATTCAGATGCGTCCAACGTGGGTTGGTGAAGAAGTTCTTACACGCTCGCCTCGCATGTCAGATGTCCGGAGTTCAGCTCCCGGCGCGGCCACTGGGTATGCACTGCTAATGAGCTCCGATAAGTGAGAAACTCGAGGCCAGTCGGCCTCCATTTGATGTGGACCCTTCGGAATGATTAACCAGGGGGACGACTATTCAAACGGGAGTGGTGTGACTATGAACAAAATTTTAAATTAGTATGGCTTATTACATGGTTTATATAGCTCGATCGAACCTATCACGTAACAGATAAGCGACTCAACACTGTTGGAAAATTCTAATACATTGTTTAGTAATCTGAATTAGGGTCATTCGAAACGAAACAATGAATTTCCAAGTCACTGTTAGCATTTTCCGCGCGTGTACGCCATTCCCGAATTATTGCCGAAACCAAACCGACAACCAAACACCGGTTCCTCCAATATTGTCGGACTACAACTAGGTGAAGTCTCCCGGGTTGAACTGACCTCCAGCCGATCGTCTGAATGTAAGCTCATCTGAGACTGGTGCGTTTCAACACATTCAGTGTATTGAGATAACTCAAATGTTGTGTCTCCTGGATTTCGAGGCAAATATTTTGAGCAATTTTGATTCGAACAGAGAGAGAGAGAGTGACACAGCGGAGTTTATTACTACCTAAATTAGATCCTCAAAGACGTCTGTTCTAGAATGTCTCGGGAGCTTATTCGTCAATTCAGACATATGACACCGATATGAGAATGTTATTTCGAACATCACGATGGTGAAACGCGTCACTTCGAGTTTGCAGCGTGTCCATTGTACGTAATCGAAAGCGGTCATACGCATACCCGGCTAATGTGGTGGTTAGGTCTCGGGTGAACGATGGAATCGAATCGCATTCCCTGAAACCTAACGGTGAGGTTGCTGCCGCCGTCGCTTCAAATTCCCATTATATTAAACGGAACAGTAACTAACGGAGACACTGATAGACTCAAAACGAAGGCAGGAGGATACGTGGAATGAAGCTATCTACTAGACTGCACCTTCAACAAATTGCCGCATTGCAACCTACACGAATACCAAGAAACATGGCTACTTCTCATGATTTGAATACTGATATCGTGCTGACACAATGATGAGGGTGAAGAAATTGGGGACAAATCTGAGTGCGGGTAATACGAAAGGCAACGAAACACAATTTATTGCTTTTCGGTATTCCAGAAGCACGTCAAACATCGTAACACACCCTAAACAAATGCAACATTGGAGAGCTGAAGAGACATTGAGAAATTTGAGGGGGAGAAATGAAAATATGTTCGACAAATTCAGTGTGGAACCACATTCATCCCTTGAATTAGATCCGTGTACCTCTGATTCATGCCCTCAGTAAGTCACGTCGAACGACATCCGCCCGATGGCCTATTGTCCTTTGTGCTTTGTGGGTGATAGAGGCCCCATACAAAAGTTTGGCATGGCTGTAGTGTGCACAGTTCCCGGGACATGATCCAAACACGACTAGATATCTGTCCGCCTTTAAATCCGTTGACAACGGCCAAAGTAGAATAGCATGGTTCTCTCCCTGTTAGTTACGAAAACAACCATGATATTCAAGTCTTTTACTTAACGAGCCAGCCAAGGAAACGCGATGAGCCAGGATAACATTAACTTCGCAGCTACCGGCTTTTACTCTGATCGACTGTAACAGATTCACGTCAACATTTATCAGTGGAAGGCCTTCGGTGTAGGAGGTGTCTCACTCAGGAAACGCAGAGAATGCTTTTACAAGCTACAAGATACTGAAGTCACACCTCACCTACACAAAGTTTTGGAAAACAGGTTGTCATACTGAAGTTTTCCGAACACAGTGTGAATAGTTAACATAATGAAACAAATGTTTCCTAATTCAAAATTAACTTTCTATCGTGTACATCGGCTGCGGTAAATCCGATTTTGAGCGGATAGCTTTTGCGAGTTTAAAAATGAAGCTTTTTATCGGGCTGGACACCTTTGTTTTGCTGTTTCGCTGTGTGGTGCGTTGAAATTTGGAGAGGTTCCTTCACATTTCCCACACACAATTTATTGGTTTTCGGTATCCCAAAAGCATATCAAACGTGGTCACTAACACACCCCACACAAATGTACATTTGGCGAGCTGAAAAGACATTGTGAAATTCCGGTGTGGAAGGAATAAACAAAAAAAGACAGCAACCGGGGTAATGAGAGTTAAATCGAGACTGATGGCCAAACAGGAACCTGACAAAACGGAAACGACAAGCAAACTATGAGTTCATACAAGAAGAATGCGACAAAAAATCAGTTTGAGTATTTTGAAGGGGATTCCGCGAGAGAATTTTGCGTTCCAATGTTGCTCTTAGAAGGTCACCAGCTACTTTTCGCCATTCATGTTCATTGCAACGGACGTCTTTGCGAAGCGGACCCAACCCGATCCGCGGTTCGCACCCGATAGCGACAGCAGCGAGTCGGCGTGCATCATGTGGACGCAGCTGTTGCTTCCGCTGTCGTAGTAGATGGATCGACACGCTGGTTTGAGGGCGCATCTGAGATCAAACGAAGGAAATGAATTGTAAATGCGTGGACATTTCATGGTGTAAGGCAACACAAGTATCGCGCTACACTTCCCACTCACAACGACCGGCTGTCAAGAAACCGCCTCGATTATCCCACTTGTGCGATGGGGAAAAACAAGTTGGATGACGATTAAATGCAACAATAGATATTAACGATGACAACGCCTGTATGATAAGCCCAAAGAGAAGAACCCAAGACATTTCGAAGTTGCTCAAATACTGTGGAACGAAAATCGCTGATCTCAGAGTGTTATTGCTTGAGGTCTAATATTAAGAAAACTACGTTGCGGAAACGTACAGAAACGCGATCATTTACTCACCTGCGTGCACAATCCAGTTTCGTCCTCGCTGCCACTATACGTTCACAGCCTGACAAACTTGCGTGCGAATGTACGACTACCGACAATGGCTTTGGGAAATGGCTGAGAAATAGAACCTTGTGATGGCCATCTGGAAGATTCCCACCGTACTCGCAAATTGTTTGAGGCTCATGACGAAGTGCAAAGTGGGGAATATTGTGGAGCGATTGTTCATCTGGCAACCACAAAGAGATATCCTGCCAACCCAGTTGCGTGGTTCGATTCTCATAACGGACGTCGTTCTCGGCGGCTGTGTATTCCGGATCGTCGGGATCCAAATCGCGCCATACTGGTGTTCCCATATTTGGTGGTTCGAGCAGAAATTTCAGTCCAGTTTGAACACCACGCGTATCTAACATAGGCCGGGGAATATGACGAATATTTCGGCCAATCAGGTAGACCAATTGGTTTCTGCTTCTTCCATATAGTGCACAATAATCGGCCGCTGCACAAAATTCAGGAATACTTCGTTGCAGCACAAAACAGACACTCTCATCCGCCTTTTGAAAATTAGGTGGACACGTGAAACCCACATGAGAGTTAATCAATGCGAACACGTAGAACAAACTGAGTAGGTACATGATTTTCGCGGTTGACAGCTACCAGCGCCTTGACGTGTTTGAATGTCCGTAGAATTTCGTTGTCAGTTCACCAATCCAAGACGTTTTGTCTCGTTTGGCCAATCCCCACTGCTTTGCGATAAACACGGGTGAGTCTGCCCATTTGTTCAGCTATACCAACCAATGAAATTTCAACATTGAATCCGTGTCTTGCACTGTTTGTAAATATACCGCAGCCTTGGTCGTTCATGAGCACACCAGCACCCAGAACAGACTAAGCTTAGGTTGTAGCCAATTATGTAGATGAAATAAAAGAATTATCGATGGTGATAAAAGCACACTTTTGGAAACTAACCGACTCGAGAAGCAGAAGTTGAACTTCACATCGAAGCATGTCTTTTCAATCAGAGGGTAGTTTATTTGAAGTTTCCTCGAGGTCGATGGGCTTACGGGACGCAGAAAACTGTCATCCGTGCTTGGGTTACAGAAATATTCGATGAGAAAATCTGGAATGGAAATGGCGTGTGACGCTCCCTGTTCAAAGTTTCGGGTTATGCCGTAAGATACCGAAAGATAAATGAATCCGGAAGTCTTGGAACACAGTGGCTCCATCAGTTTTCATTCAAACGTATACAGTCATCAAGGGTACATGTTCTTACTGCGGCCAGGAACTTCCGCTCCCTCAGCGAGTCTGGGACGTTGCTGTTGCCGCAGACACACGCAAACGACTGGGGATAAGGTAGCTAATGAATCCACCAGTGTCGGATGCAGGAAACGATTGAAATTCAAAATGAGTTATTCTGAGAACAAGGAACGTCCACAGTCACAATCCACTTCTATGTCAAGGGCTGGCAGTTCGGATTGGAGAACGAAGTTGACCAAATGGATTTTAGGTCGAAGTATTCCCTTCGTATTTCTCTTGTGATTCTTGATAGGCTGCNGCAACAGTTTCATAAAGCACATCCTGGGACCGACTGGGTAAAACTGTTGATCCGGAGCTGGGTTTATTGGCCTTACATTGACAACCAAGTCGAAACGCTCGTCAAATCTGGCCACAAATGTGCGATGGCTTCAAATTCCCCCGGAAAATGTAAACTCCGTTCTTGGCGGGTACCACAAACTGGATCGTCAAGAATACATGTGGTGTGCAGGTCCCGTGGACGGTCAAAGTTCTATCATTATCGTGGACGCTTAGAGAAAGTGGCCAGAGATTTTCCCCATGATGACAACGACGCCCACAGCACCCATTGGCATGTTGCAGGAAGTCTTCACTCGTTTTGCCAGTCCTGAATAGCTCGTTTCTGACAACGGGACACAGATCACGTCGTCTCGATTTGAGGAGTTCTGTCTTGGCAGTGTGTCTGAACACGTTAGAAAGCCTCCATATCACCAACAATCAAACGGCATGGCACAACAACTTGTGGATACTTTCAAAAGAACCTTCATGAGGCGGAAGGCAAAAGAACCACAGCAAGCATCCCGCCTTACTCCGAATCCATCAACCCTGGAGAGGAAATCGCCTGCAGGGACCCTACTCTACCACAATTCGGTTGGACCGAGTGGGTTATAGAATAGCGATGATCAGCAATTCCACTGAATCTCCGTTAGCAAAATGCAGGGAGTGTCCGCCAATGCATTCGGACATGGGAAATAGTAAAGGCGTATACAAAAAGGAAAAACTGTTTGCCGATAATCACTGTGACACTTTTACGTATGTTACGCAATTTGAATGTGCGCAACGTCCAGTAGTGAGTCCTCATCATGAACATCACGATAAGTTCCGGCAAATTTGTGAAAGCACACATGGTTGGCGAATTCGCCACTAAATGTGCCGCTAAAGAGATACGTACACTCCAAGTGAGCATCAAGAATATCTTTCCTATGGCTTCCATGGTAAGCGGTGATTACAGCTGACTGTCCTAAACAATCTCGGTAAGAAAAGACATGGTCCTGGTTGGATTGCAATGGTGGGGGATTACTACTACTCGGCCCCAAGTTATTCTTCCGCGAAACCAAGTTTTCTATTTGCAAATGAGTGTAATGCACTGATGAATTATGGTGATACACATCCCAAATGACCGTTGCTACGTCCAAACTCTTCTGCGTGCCGTGCTAACTGAGCGAAATTATGGTCATCAGCGTAGCTACTTCGGTCGAAACACTTTCGTCCCCGAATTACAGGACACACATCAGGTAGATTGACGTTTTCTCGCGATTTGTTCCAAGCGGAGAATGCTCCTTCGTACGTCTTAAGTTCGGTAAATCATGGCTGAGATGTTAAGCTCTAGGAATCCTTAGACGCATCAGCCGTCACTAAAAGGTGCTTCATTTATATAGTTATCATGGCCGTTTCACACATTTAATAACTCCCGTTTCAGGGTCTCATCACTCCTTCAGCAGAAAGGCCAAAAGCATTTGGTTTCCACTGATTGGGAGAGTGATGGTTTGGGCGATATTCTTGAGAATATGAGTGGAGTTAGTGTGGTTTAATGTACTTGGAGCACGAAGTGAGAAGAATGGCAATCAATACCATGGAAACTGGAATGCGTAGCATATTATGCACCTCACTCTGGGCCTCTCACTGTGGTAGAGAAAGTAGATTACATGCGCTGCTGGAAATATCCGCGGACAGTTAAAGCTGATCAGTACGACCGGAATTTACCAGACATTTCAGGGAATTTACAAAGCTGTCCACAATCGGTTGGCTAGAGTTCAACCACTCACAGTTGTCACCTTACTTGAAGCCGGAACTCATGCGAGGAACGCCATATACCGATCACTCTGTGTGTCATGGGGCGATAATCGAATGGCGGATGTTCTTGCCAGTATCTTCAAGCTCTCTATCGAGTCAACTATTTTGGTCCTGTGAAGAATCCATAAGGCCTCGACAAAAGGAATTCCTGACCCATTTGAGTGTGACTTTCGTGCGACAGCTCACCAGTTGAGATCAAACGGTGACTTCACTGAATTGTCAGTGATGCGTACATACACTGCTGTACCATGTGTTAAATCGAACATCTGCACTGGAGACAAGCGGTCGTTCATTCAACGTTCACGCAATTTCAGAGGACGTTGTCCAAAATGTGCCTCCAAGCAAAACAATCGTCTCCAGATTGCATGACTATAGACATTTTCCTCGAGGAAAAATGTGTCATGAGTGGGTCCGGAATGACGCGATGCAAAGCGAAACGCGTAAAGAATCCACCTTACCTACCTATTCGGTCCCTGTTGCGTTCACAAGATGGGTCACAATCAGTCGGTAACTGGATGTAAGATGGCAGCGTCTGAGAGCGAGCAACTCAGCAAGGTTAAATCGACTGTGAATTCACGCGTATCCTGTCACCCAATGCCCTAATGCTCCCACTGATAATTTGATTTCTCTAAAGTCCACTCGCTCATTGGATATTGCAACTATAATGCAGTTTGCTCAAGGAATGCGAATCGATATCCCTTGTTTGGTACCTGTCAGATTAGTCCACCGTGTTTGAGTCGCTCAAAGACATACGACTGTCACTTGCCCTCGGCTTTCCCCAGCGATCAAGAAACGACTTATTTCGTCGCTTCAGTGCTTAACAAATCTTACGCGTTTTTTTCGAAATATTTGGACACACATTGCACAAATCGAAATGGGCGCCAGAAGGCACTAAAACCCAGTTCGAGATCTTTATACGTTATAAAATTTGCCTCGATTCCCCCTCCTGATTATCCACAAAACGTGTGATTGTGTCATCTCATCATCGAAAGTTTGCAGTTTGGTTAGCAACTATGGCTAAGAGTATTCCTGGCAGTTTCACTCGGGAGTGCTTAGTTTATTCAAACACCGGGGCTGTGCACTTGGGTACTTTCAGCTTCCCGTGTCTATGTTGATTGACTACTGA